GCAGAGTAATCGAATCTCATCCGCCAGAGGGGAAGCTGTTCACCTGCCTGGGGCTGGGATTTCCCCCTTGCACAACTGCCAGGTACCCTCACAGGCTGATTGAAACATCCAGTGCTGTCTGGGGCCAGGGGCATGGGGGTGGCTTGGTGGATCTAATCTCTGAGCAGCCAGAGCAGCTCTGATCACGCTCCTGCCTTGAGGCCTGATAGCGCCCCTGGTACTGCTGTTATCTCTGCCTGCAGCTCTCTGCTTTTTCTAGTTTTTATGTTGTTTTTCTTTTTTTCTCTTGAGCAAGTGCATTGCTCTGCCAGAGTTATAACTGTTGGATGAGATCTCCCCATCTCCACTCGCTGTTCCTGCAGCTTCCTTTGCTGATTTTTAACCTGACAGCAGTAAAAGCATAGCTGAGAAGAGGCAGACATGGCCCTGGGCCCTGACTGGACCCAAAGCAAGAGACATCTTCATCTTATTTCCTCTTATTACAGCTTTTCTGTTCCTTAACAGTTGGTCTGCTGGCTCTGCAAGCTACTGGCTCCAGACTGGCTGCCTCTTGTGAGGGTTTCTGCTCTAGGAGGCAGAAAATGTCTCAGCCTCCTCTTCAGCCTCTTTTCCTTGTCTTTGTGTCTATCTGCCTCTATTTCCAGAAGCAAATTCAAGTCCTGAAGGTTTCCTATCTCAATTCCAGCGGGGCAGCTGAGCCTCAGTCCTGGTGGGCATTTGGATCTGCAGCAGGCAGCTGCCAGCCTGCCTGATGGGAACAGGGAGAAAAAGGACCCCTTTTCTCTTCATGCTTCTGGGTGGTGGCTGATCCCTGTGAGTCTTGAACCTTTGACCACTGGTGCACAAAAGTAGAAAGAAAGGTGCATCTCTTCTTGTAGAAAAGTGGTTGACCAAGTGTCTGGTTGTAGACATAGGGAAAAAGTCCTGGAGGTTGGAGCGAGGATGAAAAACAAAGTCTGGGGGCACTCTGCACAACCCCCCAGTCATTGCCATGAATGTCTGCCCTTCTGCCTCTCCACAGTGCCTTTAAGAACATGGTTTTGCTCATCAAGTACCTCTTTGCACAAAATTGTAGAAAATCTCCCAATCCACCATGGTCTGGTGCCGGCTGTGCCGTCACAGGTGGGGATGGTGAAGGGGCAGGTCTGATGTCCTGCCAGGGTCAGTAAAGCTGCAGGTTGCTGGAAGCGTGGATGCTGCTCTACCTCAGCTGCAGTGGCATCCCCCTCCCTGGGGTCTGCTGTGGTGCTTGCGTGGCCTGCAGCCAACTCAGTTGGGCAAGCTGGCCCAGCAGAAAGCTACGTACCTTTCTTTCCTCTGGGATGGATTTTTGGCGAATCATCCCTGGTGGCCATGGGGAGGCTGGTCCTGATGCCAAGGAAAAGGAGTATGTGGCAGCAAGGCTGGCTGCTGCTTCTGGCAAGCTGTGCCTGCATCGGACTTGCCTTCCTTGGAGGTGTTTGGGATGAAAAAGCAGCCTTGGAAAACAATTGCTGTGCTTTGGGAAATGATGCCCAGAAGAGAGGAAGGCCAGGAACTGGCTGGTGCATATGTCTGACCAGCTAATGGCGACAAAGCCTGGCCCAGCATCTTCAGCTATTCACCTGGCTGTGGGACAAGTTCTTCCCAACCCTTTGATTTCTGCCTTTACAGGTTTTTGCCTTTTCCTATCCTAACCAGAACCAGTTTTGTAGAGGGGCTGGAGCAAAACCATCAATGCTGATAGTTCTGCCATTCCCTCTTAGTAATACTGAGGTGTTTGCTGAGGCATTTTAGTTGCTGCCTACTGCTTTTTTCCGGGCATATTCTTGTCGACTTTAAATAGCTATCAAGAAAGTGCTCCAGCCAGCTGAGCTGCTGAGCAGTGCTCATGGAGAGCTTGAGGATGGGCTGAACCTGTGGTAGACCACCTGGCTCAAGTGTTCTTGAGAAAGTGCAGTGGACATAGCCACGGGGCTCTGCTCTCCAGCTGTCACTCAGGAGGGGATACTGCAAGACAACGTCTTGAATCCTGTAGCCTGTGCTGGGGAGAAGGCCTCAGCAGTTGTTCTTGGCAGGTCTTCTGACTGCAGGAAGCTGGAGGAGTGATATTGCATTTCTGTAGCTCTGTCTCTCCTCCTAGTGAGGAAAGCATGGGCAAAGCCTGGTCCTTCTCCTTCTCCCAGGGTGTCCCCCATGGAGATCCCTCGGGAAAAGCCAATCTTTTGAGAAGGAACTAGAGCTCCTAGAACTTCCTCTGAGGGGAGTCTTTATGTATTTATCCTATTATTTTTCTGAAAATTGTTTCCTACCACATTAGGGAATTAGCCTGCCAAATTAGAAATTACCCAGCAAGGAAATCACTGCTTCCAGATTAATCCTAGCTCTTTTGTCTCTTCTGTGTTTGGCTGATGTAAGAGTTAGGTAAATATTTGTACAACAGAGAGAATTGCCCCCCTTTCTTCTCTTTTCCAGGGGTCAGAGAAATGTCAGCTGTTGGCACTTGTGTGCAGCCAGGCTTCTGTGTTTGCTGTGAGGTGGGCTCCATGCCAGCCGTGCGCAGGAACCGAAGCACAGACGAGCCCTGGAGCCACCACAGTGGAGCAGCCAGAGCAGCTGCCTGTGGTGATCTGCATCCTTTTCCCAGAAGAGGCAGGTTCCTGATGCTTCATCCTGAGCTTATCCTGAAGAGCAGTGGAGTCCTGAGTTTAACAATGAAACTACATAATCTTTCTGCTCTGCACAAAAGAAGAAAACCTGCTTCTCTTGGTGTCCTCACCTGGTGAATCTCCAGGAGTAAACTGACTTTTGTTGCTGTTTCTTAACTCTTATTCCGGTTTTACTTGGTTCCTCTATGATATAGCCAGTCTTACCATTTTGGGTCTCTCCTCTGGGGAAAAAAAAAGGGTGCTCTCCTCTCTCACTAGTACAATGAGTCCTTGAAGTAGTGGGTGCTGAATTTCATGTGAACAACAAAGCCTGTTTCAGCACCATTGCAACTCGAGCCGTATGTCCATCTGCAGGACACTCAGAAGCAGTGGTTCCTGCCTTGTTTCTGTGAGTGAGGTGGAATCCCACCAGTTGTATGTTATTGTATGTGAAGGCACAGGAATTTCTCCTTCTTTCCTATGACAGTCAGTCCCTGAAGAAGGAGGTGGGCTTAGCTTCATTAATCAGTAGATTACTCACCCAGAGTGTCTGACTGAAAACTTCTGCACAAGATAAATATTGATGTTTATACTTGTAGACATAGACTTAAAGTTTCAGAGCAGAATCTGGGCATGGGAAGACCTAGATCAGAAATTTGTAGCTGTTACATGTAACAAGGCCTGAATGAAACTTGCACACTTAAGCAAACACATCAGGAAAGCAGGATACCATAGTTGCCTCCTAGTCTTGTTTCTCAGTTGCATGTCTACTTACTTTAACATTTTCCACATTTCTTGCGCTTTTTCTCATTAATTGTCCCTCTTTTTCACCACATCATAGGAGGCAGCTTCAATATCTTTGCTTTTTCTTCATCTCTGCCAGACCCCACAGTTCCCAGATTCAGGAGCAAGTGGAGACACTTTTGCAACCCTGTTTCTAGGTGCAATAACAAGCCAAGAGTTTAGCACAGCCAGGGAGGGGGAATCTGTCAAAGGGTCATTTGTGAATTCTAATTCCTGGGTTTGTTTTGTGTTTGCCTGGGCCTCTACATAGCTCAGAGATGTTTTGGAGCTGATCTAAGTCATGTGGCTTGTTAAATGGTCCCTTCCAAAGCAAACTGGTGGAGCCTGCCTACTTAAGCCACAGTGAGTTTCCTGTGCTGCTGGGCTGGGTGGGCAGGATGAAGATGGTTGTGCTGGCTTCCTCAGCAGTGAGCTGTGCTGTCCCCTCAGAGCACATCCCTGCCACTTCTCACCACAGGAGCAGAGGAGAGGGCTCAGGCCATTCCTCTCAGTGCTTAGACTTGAAGCTGGAGAGGTGTTTCTCTTTATCTACCAAGGCAGCCAACTTCTCTGGATCTCTTAGAGCTTTGAGGATGATTTCCATTTTTAAAGGAAATAGGTGGACAGCCTGACTCCACTCTCTGGAGCTCTGGAAGGTTCTGGCACTTGCACTCTTCATAGTTAAGCTATTGTGCAGTGTAGGCACAAAGCTGAGCTGCTGGAGAGTTTGTTACTTGCTGACTCAATGCCAAAATGTTTAGCAGAGCTGAAAACTACATAGTGTGGGCTACCAGGAGGTATGAGCTCTGCTCACCAGCACTGTCTCGTTAGTGATGCAGATTACGGTCACAAAGGTCTGTGAAGTTGTGCTGCATCTGCTCATCTTTGTCCATCCTCAGCCCAGGAGGCAAATGGAGTCGTAGAAGTAAACCAGAATTTATCCTGGCTCCTGGATTGAGCAAGCTGGGAGGGGAGAGGGTGTCAGATGAAGTTGCTTTGAACCTGGAAGCTGCTTTAACTTAAACAGCAATGTCCTTAACCACATGGATCACTGGTAGTATTTTTGGCTTGGAAGCTGAATGTCCCATCAAGTTCATTCTTTGCTGTCCTTTTCTTCAAGAAAATATTGCAAACTTTTAGTATTCACATAGATGCATATTCAGAGTAATATTCTTTAGATGATTAAACTATTAATCTGGATATTGTCTTATTTTTCTTTGGGATTGTTAGTTAAAAAAAAATTACGTTCTTTAGTTTGACCAGTGGGATTATCTGAGGGATCTCCAAAGAGGTTCCCAGTCCTGTGGCAATTAGTGAAATCTGTGACATGTCTTTTAGAACTGTGATGAGTATTTAATGTAAAAATATAATAAGAAGGAAGGAAGAGCTTTTAAGGAAGACAGAGGCAATTTCTGTCTCAGTGTCAGCCTGCTACCTTTGAGTAATATGAACAACTCCTGGTCTCCTGCTGGGTTGTCCCAGAGTGTTAGAGGTCTCTTAGCTTTGTAAAGGACCAGTTTATTTTGGTAACTGCTGCAGCTTCTTCTTTTAGCCTGTACCCTGACATCTCTTTCTTTTTCCTCTGTACAGGGTATGAAAGCTGGAGGGAGCTGGCTAAGGCTCTGGAAGACACAAATGTCCCAGGTGGGGGCCCAAGCGTTCAGTTTTACTATCCACAGAAGCTGAGACACCAGGTGAGGAGGCTTGGGATCTCTTCTGAACATTCAGAAGGGCACACCTTCTTTTCTGATGCTGGCCTCAGGAGACAGTTCTCTCTTCACACAGGAAAGAGAGCATGCCACAGGACAAAATCTGAGCTGACTCTCAGCAGTGTGAATGTACAATGACTCCACTGTAGTCCATCAAGTTATTTTAGGTGTACTAAGCTGCAGTGGAGGGCTGGGGCTGGCTGGGTATGTGGCACAGGAAGGTAGCACTAAGCACGATGGAAGCAGAAACAAAAGATCAGAAGACAGTTTGTAGCTCTAGTGAAGCACGTCTTGGTACTGTTGCCTGAAGGAAGTGTTAGAAGAACTATTGCTTGGACACATTCAAAACAAGGAGCTCAGTAGCTCACCAAGCAGCAGCCAGGGAGTGCTTGCACCCCACCATGATAGCTGGCCTCTCCTTTGAAAAGGGAACTTAGGAACTTGCCTTTTTCTCACATGTTCTTGTGTTTGAGCCCTCTTGTGTAGGTGTCAGTGCCAAGGCATTTATCACTTTATTTTGAATTTTCTCTGTTTATATTTCAGAACCAAGAGCTGCAAAGAGGTGGGAGGAATAAATCGAGTTATGCAGCTGTGGACAACCCTGTCCCATGGATGCCGGAGGTGGGTGCCTTTCTCCATTGTTTTGCCTGAGGGAGCTGTAGTTAGAGACCTGCACAGTGAGGATGGGAAGCAGAGACTCTGTCTGGAAATTCATCTGCTTCACTAGAAGTCTATTCCCTATCACCCCTCCTGGCTATGACACTTACAGACCTGAGTAATCATCTGGAAAGACAGGATTGTTCAGATTCCTGATAATTTGGTGTTTCCACCAGCCATCAAGGCACCAGGCACCCGCCCACAGTCCCATGAGAGCAGGGAGCCCACTACCTTCCTGAAAGGTGAAGTTTATTCTGGGCTGGGGTTGCACAAGGCCAAGGATTCAACAAGCAAATACAAGACTGTGGTACACAGATGTGTCATGCTCTGCTCTGGCTCTGGCATTTGCTTGCTATCCAATCCCTGTGTGTCATGGGTAAAGATTTCTCCACTTCAGTGACACTTCTGATGAACAGAGGCCTTCTCTGGTGACCCTTGAAGACTGGGGTAAATATTCCCTTAATATCCTTCATGCCTCGTTCATTCTTTCCTCCCTGTTCCCTTATCTCACCATTCCTCTTCAGATAAGGGAGCAATGAAGCCTGCTGATAATGAGAGGGACACCAGCCAGGGGGCATTTAGCTAATGGAGTCGGCTCACTAAATTCCTCAAGGTGTTTAGAGACCTCCACAGATTAGAAGGACCTCTGTGACTCCTGCAGGGTGGGAGCAGGCTGCTGTCCCTATGCTCAGGGCACAAGGGAAAGCACGTCCCCCCGTCCATCACACTGAGCAGGTTAGGTGCTGGCAGCATGAGCTCAGGCTTCCCTGGAAGCAGGCAGCACCAGTTGCCCACTGTTGCCCAGAACCAGACCATTGATCTGTTCTGCTGCATCAGCTCTGGTGGGTGCTGGTCCCAGCTGGAGCCTGGGGGTTTCCTCCAGCTGGCTGGCCACTGTGCTTTGCAGGCAGCCTACGGGCAGGGCTGCCTCCCAGATTAGTGGCTGCTGGCCAAGAGCCAGGGGGACATCAGGGCCAGGACACTGCTGCACTACAGGGACCACACGAAGCTTTTGCAGCTCCCCCCTCCCATGGCACTGGGTGATACTGGCTCTGTGTGGCATCCCCCAGCTTCTCTGAGGCTTTGCCCCATGTCTCCGATGACCTCTCTGGTGACTTCTCAAAAGCATGTTAGTCTTGAAACCTGCCAGATGTGGTGTGCAATGAGCCTTTACTGAGTCAGAAGTGTAGCTGGTGGGGTACACGCTGTGGCTTGGGCGAAGGTGTGTGTTTAGCACAGGGCTGATCTGCAAAACCCTCTGCTTGGCCGGTGGGGTGATCTCACACCTTTGTGTGCCACAGCACTGAGCAGGGCACCCACCAGCCTGCAAACCTGACGCCTCTGTGTGGTGCTGCCAAGGGGGGAGTGAGTGAAGAGGAGTGAAGAGGTGTGTCCTGGCTGTGGGGAAGGGATAGGACTTGAGATGTGCTCTTTGGGATGGCCCCACACCTGGAAAGGTGCTGCGTGCCTCCTGCCTCGTCCTGCACGGCTCCCTGTTGGGATGGGGAGCTCTGCCAGGTAGCAGGGCTGTTGGCTCAGAGCGGCTGCATTGGGAGTTTGTGAGTGCCCAAGTCCCAGCCATGCCGTGTGTCAGGTGCTGTCCGGCACATGTGTCACAAGAAGACTTTAGAGTCCCATGGTGTACAGATCCCAGACTGAGTTAGGGTGGCCTTGCCCCACTCACACACCCTGCTGTTCTCCCCTGTCAGCTAGGCTCTAGTGCTGCCCCTGTGAAGCACCCACCTCCTTCATCAGCTTTCTCTTTGTCTCTATAAGGCAAAATTTCCTGCCCTTGCTGCAGCACTGTGTGTGCTCAGAGGATCAGCAGGGCCATCCTGACTGCAAACAGAGACCAGTGGTTCACCAGTACCAGCTGCAGGAGACTGAGAAGGATCCACAGGCTCAGCTCTGTGTAGAGCTGCTTGCTGTCCTCAACCACCAGCTGAAATTTCACCTGGCCCAGGGATTAAGTTTTTTGTAACTCTGCCCAAATTAATTACCCAGGGTCTATGATCTCATTGTGCCTTCCTTGCAGCATCTCCAAGAACTCAACTGTAGCCTGATTCCTGGGGAGAGGGGTGGCAGGTTGCCTCCCACAGGTCAGGGAGCTGGGCTTTGTTGGAATAGAGAGATATATTCCTGACAAACACAAGTAGTTAACAGACTTGCACAGTGAGCTGGCAACCAGTATGGCCAAAAAAGGACAGGTTTCTATTTTCCTTTTTCAGTTTCAGGAGGTGAAATCAGCAGTTTAAGTCTTCAGCCTTGGATAATGTGGTGGGAAATTGCATGCGTAGGAGATTCCTAGTGGAGTTATATCATGCATATGGGGGGAAGCAGCGTTCAGCTTCACTCCTGGGTTCCTTGGGATGCCTGTGCACACCATCCCTACCCTCACTGTCCCTTCCAGGCACCAGAGCACTGTCTTCCATATCTCAGAATCACCCACCACCTCCCCAGGCTGGAGACTTGGGACATTTTGTATCATTAATTCAGAAAGGTGCCTGGATATCTCCAGGGTGAACATGCACTGCGGGACAATGACTGTCACCATTTGGCGCTGCTGTAGGTGCAGGGGCAGGATTTTTGGAAATGCATCCAGTTAGCCCGATAGTTCTCATTTACCTCTACAAAAGCCTCTGCTCACCTCTGAGAGGAGAAAGATCTGGGCAGGCACTGGGGGAAATTTAAAATGTGTTCACCCCCCTTCACATCTGCGCAGCCTCAGAGCTTCCTTTTCTCTGGAAGGAGCTGTGAGGGGTGTCCAGGAGCACAGTTCCTTGCAGGCAACACCTGTATAGGTGCATGGGTGTTGCACGAAACCAGAGCATTGTGCTAGGGCATCCTCCTGCTGCCAAACCTGCCCTGAGAGGAAGCATCCTTTCCTTAGAGGACTAAAAGACAAAGTTATTGCTGCTTGCTTTGTCCCTGCCCACGTCCCTTCCTCGCCCACTTGTGCCCATCAGGTGTCAGGGCTCGGTGGGACAGGGGGGCTTTGTTACTAACTCGTCTTGATGGGTTCCCACAAGTGCCCGGCACAGCAGAGCTTGCAGCAAAGCCCAGCTGCTGGCTGCTGAATGTCACCCAGTCCGGGGAGCTGGGCCAGGCAGGAGGAGGGGCCGCAGCCGCTCTGCGGAGACAGAAGAGTCTTACAAACTCAGGAGTTTCCAGCTGGTAGCACAATGTCCCCTTTCTTCCCTGGCTCAGGCCCTCTCTGTGCCCCGTTTCTCATCCCTGGCGCTGTGCATTCCCTGGGCAGCACGCAGACACGCAGCTGATTTCCCTCCGTGGTGCCCAAAGCAGCCTGGAATTTAATTAGGAAAGAACTCTCTTCTTCGTCCCGCTCCAGTTACAGTGCAGCAGGTCGCGTCTCTGCTGCCGTGACCCGCGCGGCCTTGCCGCTTGCCTGGCCTCTGCCGCTGCTTCTCCTTTCTTCCCTGCGGCTGCTTGCTCGGCCGGAGCCTCTGGGTGTGTGGTGCCACCCCCTGGGTGGTTTTGGCACGGTGGGGTTCGGGTTAGGGAGGGAGAGGTCTGTGCTCTCTGAGTGCCCGCTCCTCCTTTACAGTCTGTTTTCCTAGGAGGGGCTGATAATCTAGAGTCCCTCGCTGGAAGGAAGCGGAAATACCACGGTCTGTGAACACAGGGGCAGGGCTGCAGGTGGGGGTTAATTCAGCAGGCCCATCGGGAAGGGTCGGCGCTGGGGCGCGGGGCCCCCCTGCGCTCGGAGGCACGCAGGCTGCTGCCTCAGCACCAAAGCGAGGGCCCGTCCCAGCTCTAAGGCTCAGCTGTCCCCTCCGTCGGGCAGCATGGTCACTCTGTGGCCCTGGCATTGTGCTGGAGATGGTATCAGCCTGCCCAGGCCTCCTTGGGAAGAACAGCTCTGGCACGCACGCTCCTGGGCATGCTCGTGCTGTGCTGACAGTGCCCTTGGTGCACAGCCTGTGCCTGTTTTAGATCCCAGCTTGGGTTCTTGGCAATGCTACTGTTTCAGCAGGGTGGTGATAAGCAGCTGGGAGGTGGGGTTGGTACAAGGAGGGAGCTGAGGGGCAGGAGGAGTCCTCTAAATAGGAAGGCAAAGACCACATAATACTAGCTCCCACTGCAAGCCCAGAATCTTGGCTTCTATTCCTGGTTCTGGCCAAATCAGTCCGTCCAAAATTTTCAAAGCAGATGTTTTTAAGAGAAGAAGGGGAACTTAACATGTTGCTTACTAGGTCTTGAATTTCTTGCCCTTTGAAAACAAGGGCCAGGTAGTTCCGAGCTGGGAAGACAAATTCAGTAGCCACGTGAAGTGCTGGGGTCTAAAACCCCAAGCCCTGCATAACGGTTGACATATGAATGATGCCCACAACCAAGCAGAGGATTCTCCAATAGCAGGAGAAACCTTCCTAATCGGTTTGCACCCAAGGTTGACCAGGTCATGAGAAAAAAACAAGAGGAAAGTTTGTTTGATGGTTTGATGCCTAGTTTTGGGCATCATCCTTATGTCAACCTTGATTCAGGACTTGGGGTTTAGACCACAGCACTACACCATGTTTTACAAAGTCTGTCAACATTTCTCAGGAGCTGTGTGCATGAACTAGGAGTGAAGGTGCTGTTTATCTGCTGCTGCAATCTGCAAAAGCACCAAGCAAGAGATTTTTACTGTGTGCAGAGGGGAGACCTAGATAGCAAGTGGAGGAATTTCTCAGCTTTGTGCAGTGGGAAGCCATGAGTTAAGCTGAAGGGACAGAGGTGATAGGGTTTCAAAACAGCTGCTGCACTGGTGACTTGTGGGGTCCTAAGATTAAAGCCTAGCTCAATTTTCGGTCCCAGGGCAGTGCTTCAGGCAGCCAGCACTTATCTGTCAATAATGTTCTTCTTTTCCCTTTCGTAGGAAGCAGAGGGTAAGTTAGGCTGTTGTTGTTGAGGAAGAAGTCTGTTGCTTTAGAAAAGACTCTGAAACCATATGCCAGAAATGCTCATTATTTACTAGTTAATTATTTCTAATAGCTGTGAGCGCAGGAAAGTGAAGCAATCTTACAAGCTTCTGCTATAATCTCTCCCAAGTGGCTTTTTATAAAGACTTGGGAGGCAGGCATGTTGGGCTAGGAATCTCAAGGACCATCTCTTATGGCATTGATGAAGCACCCACTACGGTTGTATCTGCTTTATTTTTTCAGTAGGCTGCCCTCTCCCTAATACTGCCAAACTCTGCAGTAAAGTGTTGTATTAGAATGAGCCTGGTCCAAGTATTTGAGCAAGTCTACCAACTCTTTTGGGACTTCCTTCATAAATATACATTTTGGCATTTGGACAACCCCATGCCAAAGTCCCCCCAGCTCCATTGCAGTCCTGAGCCTCAGTAGTATTCCCTAGGTCCGTCTTTTCCAGGAGGGGACTGCATTGCCAGCCTCTCCACAGTGTGGGAGTGTTGTGCTACATTTGATAGAGGTCTGAGCCTGCTATCTGCAGTGCACAAACTATTCTCTGAGAAGTAAAGTCAGCATCGCTTGTGGTTAGCAGCAGACTGCCTTAAGACTCGGTTTCTGGCAGTGACTCACTGTGGGAGCCCAGCCTTTTCACCTCACTTCACATTCCACAAGAAACAGCAATTGTCTTTGTTTGATTTGGCTGAGAAAGCAGTTTAAGACCCTTGGGTGTGAACCTGGATTCGGCCAAGGGGCATGGGACTGCTCAGCAATGACGTTCCAATTCAGTGCTTGTCACGCTTGCGGTGATTTATTTGTATGAGAAGTCCCTCCAGAGTCGCAGGTTTCTCTTGGCTGTGTTCATTGACCCAAGCTCTCTGTGTAGTTCCTCTCAGCATCACTCTGGGGAATTACATCCACTTTGTCTCGCTGCTCTTTCCTCTTAGCTGATGGGCAGAATCCAGTCTGAGAGAGGTCAGCAGAGGAGGAAAGAAGAGGAGATAGTAGTGGGGGACAACATGGGCTTGCAGACATCAGCCAAGCCCTGGCAGTGCAGACACCAGTGAGAGGGCTGACAGAAGACTGCTCAAGAACAACAGTGGTTGTGCTTGTGTTTTGTTTGGCACACAGAGATGGTTTTCACGTGCATGACTAAAGCTCACAGATCGGCAGGAGCATTACTGCATGAGCTGGTGCCAGGCCAAGTCTGCTCTGTGTCCTTCCTTCAAGCCACGGCTTATTACAGAACAAAACCCCAACCCGCTACCCTGGGAAATATAACTCCATGAAGGGGTTTCTCTGCCAGGAGTGCACGGAGAGGTTGGGCCCTTCTCCTCCATCATGCTGCTTCAGCTCTGCTAGAGACTCCCCAGCGAAAACTGAGAATTTGCTGCCATCTGTAGACATCTGGGTGCTGTTCAGGCAGTTTCCTCAGCCCTGCTCGCACAGCCCTTATATAGGCAAGAGAGCTGCGGCAAAACCTCCCCCATCCCAAGGCAACTTATTCCTTTCTTCAGCATTTCCTTACCTAAGGTAGCTTCTACAGTCTCCAGCTTATTTATTCTCTGCTGTTGGATGCCGGTCTTGCACGGAGAGTTTCAGTGTCCAGCCCCACTGGTTGCAGGCAGAGAGCTCAGTCTTTGCTGGGAGCCAGCTCCTACCTTTTGGATGGCTCTGATAAAAAGAAAAATCTATCCCTTGAGGAGCATATTGCTGAAATCCCACAGAGGCCAGGAGGTTTTTCCTAGTCAAGCTGTGCTTCAGGTCTCCATCAGGCATGGACAGCCTTTCCCAGCAGGGCTGGCTGGGTAGCCGGGACATGCTGCATATCTTCCTACACTGTCCAGGAAGGCACTCCACCTCTCACAGTGTTTTTGTGTCTCTGTGGGCACAAAGAGCCCACATCCCTCATTGACCCACCTATTCTGTTGCTTCCCACCCTGCTGAGCCTCCCTCTCCTTGTCTTTGTGAGCTTTACTTTGCAGGTGTACTTCAAGAAGGGGATCTGCCATCTCCCTTCCCTAGGGTATCTCATCTTCCTTGGGTCAGTAACGTAGCCCTAAAATGGCAGGGGAGCCCTAAACACCTTCTTGGAGGACATAAGAACCTACAGTCTACTTGATGGATTGTTGAGGGGTGTTGCCACAATACAGCATGTCCCACACTGTGGCCTCAGAGCACAGCCCTCTGATTAAGAACCTTCTTGATGGAGCAAAATGCAGTGAACCCCAGCCACTTAACGGAATTGTCCCAGGCATTATTGCAGTTCCCTGGTGCCATTCAGACTGTCACCTGGCCCAACCCCAAACCCTCAGCAGATGAGAAACAGGAGTCTGGATACATGTCTCTTGCAGACAGCACCTTGCAGCAGCGGCATCTTCCTTTGCTCTGACAGGTGCTCCAGTGTCAGGGGCCATGGCCAAGGATGGCAAGGTGGGGGGTGGATGCCAGGGAGGATCGCAGGAGAGGGAGGCAGCAATTCATGGTGCCCCACTTCTGTTCCCCAGTTCCAGGGCCAGGCCAATCTGCATGTGTTTGAAGACTGGTGCGGCAGCTCCACTGAGCAGCTCAGGAAAAACCTTCACTTCCCCCTCTTCCCCCATGTGAGTAAGACCTCAATATCCTCTGTCCCATGCTTCCCAGCTCTGCTTCCCAGCTGGATTGTCTCTGCTCCCTTTGTGTCCCATCCCTATCCCTCTCCATCATCTCCTCTGTCCTCCTGCTACTGGGAGAGCAGGAAGCTTTCACAAGGGTTCAATGGGAGCAACTTTTCTGCTGTCCAGGGTGACTCGTTTTATCCACGCTGGCCTGCCAGGCCTTGGACACAGATTGAAGGAGCCCTGTATTTGTTGCTGTCCCTCCATGTGGCTAGCGAATGCCGTGTCCCATTCCCACCATCTCACTGGCATTCCCGTGCCCTCTCTGCAGCAGCACTTACTCACGTTTATCTCTTATCTGGCCTGCTCTTTTCCACTGCCTCCATCACACACTGTGCCCCGTCCTCCTACCAGAGCAAACATCATAATTCTCTCCACTCACTTGTCCCAGAAGTTTTTTTGCATCCCCTCCTGGCTCCTACCACATCTCATTAGTTTTATTATTTTTTCTCCTCCCACTCCAGACGCGGACTACTCTGAAGAAGCTGGCTGTGTCCCCAAAGTGGACCAACTACGGGCTCCGGATATTTGGCTACCTGCATCCTTTCACTGATGGTGAGGGCTCTGAAGTTTCTGTGCTGCTGCTCATGTCTCTCCTCTCATGCCCTTTCCTCCCCTCCTGGTGCTGAACACTGGTGCCCTCACCCTGTCAAGCCCAACACCAGGTCCCTCATGGCCCCAGCTAGCTGAGAATGACTGCGCGTGGCCCTGGCATGGGTGAAACATCTGCCAACTCCATAGGATGGAATGGAAGATCACAGAAGAAAACAGATAGTTGTTGTGAATGCAGAGCCTCATGGCGTGTACATAGGCACGAGCAATCCCCGAGCTTTTCCTCCCTCCCTTGCATACACAGGACTCTACATGACATCATTTACTTTCCTGCTGCTCCCTGGGTGCATGAATACCCTCTGACAGCAGCTGACAGCTGCATCGCCCAGCTGCATGTTCTGCCCAGAGCAGCCTGCTAGCACTCACCCACACCTCATGGTCCCCTGGCCCTCAACTGCCATCCCTGGCAGAACAATGAGACTCTCACCAGAACTTGTGTCTTCCTTTGTGGCTCCATGTGCATGTTCCTCCATCCAAACACGGCTTGTCACACAAAATTTTGCTCTGGAAACAAAAGGGGAAGTGGGGAGACTTTGCACAGACTTCTTAGCAAAGCCAATGCAGGAGGGATAGTGGACAAGTTGCATCTGTAAAGCTTTGTTTCCAATCACAGCAGAGAATTCAGAGAGGTTCAGAAGGGTGGAGGTGGTAATATCAAAAGGGAAGGTATGGTCTCACCAGGAAAAAGGGTGGAGACAGCACTGTAGAGAATTGGAATCCCTTCTGTGCACAAGCCCTTATCCCAGGGCAATACTTACTCCCTCCATCTCTTGACAGGGGAGTTTCAGTTTGCCATTGCTGCGGATGACAATGCTGAGTTCTGGCTGAGTCCAGATGACAAGACCTCTGGTCTCCAGCTGCTGGCCAGTGTAGGCAAGGTACAGTGCATGCTGCATGGCCTCTTCCATCAAGGCTTTAATGTTTCTGTGGGACTTTGTTGGACCACCCAAGTTTCTTTTCCTGCCCAGCTGCAGATGACACCACATACTGATGGGTATGACACAACATATTTTAAGCCAGATACATATTGGCACTTCTGTTGAACCCCTGCACTCATGATTAAGGGCCTTAAATCTGTCCACAGGTTATGGATCTCACACACAACTTACCAGGAGGAGTAGCTCTGTTTTCCCCGTTCATTACTCCCAGTGCGTAACCAGAGAAGAAACTCATCTTAACTAGAGCATTTTCTGTCTCTTCACAGACGGGGAAGGAGTGGACGGCACCAGGGGAGTTTGGGAAATTTCACAGCCAGCAGTCAAAGATGGTGAGGTGAGTGAGCAGAGCTAACATGGCTGGGAAATCACAAGGACAAGGAACCTGGACTTGTTCTGAAGAATTTAACAATGCAAAGAGATTACTCTGGGGTATTGCTGAAGCTGAACTGACACATCCACACCTGTGCCAGTGGCTTTGCTGATTTACTGC